TAGTGCATGCTCCGTGCTTCTAGAGTGCGTTCACATATTTGGGAACACTTTGAGGTGGTAGAAGAAAATGAAGAAGTTCGCAAAGTAGAGTGCAAGAACTGTGGTCGAGTCTTTAATGTTCATCGAAAGTGGGAGGGAACAATTGATTTAAAGAGGCGTATCAAGGGTTGTCTTGTGCGTCCTCCAGGAATTCATATTTAAGTTGATTTGAGATAATTTGGATTATTTTGAATTTGTTAAACTTATTTAAGTTTAATGTGTTAGTTTAAAAGACAAGTTAATTTGAAATATTATCATGCAACGAAAATATGAAATGAAAACTTTTGAAGTTTGATCCTTACATATTGGTCTTATTAAAGAATTTTATGTAGCCACTTAATTTCAAATTTTAAATTTATAACTTTAAAGTTTAATTTTATGCCATAAAATACTTATTTTATTATTTAAAAGTTTACAAATACTTAAGTAACAATTACATTGAACAAGAAAACATAATACACTAAAAGAAATAAAAAAATTAACCTGGCCCGGTCTGGACCCACCAAAACCCGAAATATCCTAGCCCACTAACATTCAGGAATCCCAATCCACTAATCAGCCCGCTCCACTAATCGGACGAGCTATTTTTTTCCATGTCCAGCCCGGTCCAGCCCGTCCAATAAACACCCATAGTTTTAATCTGCTTAAAAAAATAATATTTTTTTATATTTAAAAATTATTTTAACTTTAAATTTTTTAATTTTACTCTTGATAAGATACTTTTATATTCTCATAAATAACATGATAAGAGCACAAATTTCAAATTTTGATTTTTTGAACATCACATCTGGTCAGACAAATGCAGTGAAAGACATTGCAGACTATGTGGACGGTAACGTAACAGATATATCCGCAGCTAGCCAACTTCGCTTTCTAACGGTTAAGGTGTTAGCTAGAAAATGAGAAGACATATTTGAAAATTAGAAGAGAAGTTCGAAGATTTTTTCAGGAAACTAGGAAAGTAATAGTGACATATTTGAAAATTAGAAGACATTATAGAATTGCAGTCAGAGGCGAACCGATGCAATAGGTAGAGTAGGTAGAGGGGTCACCTGTACTCATAAAGTTCGGCAAAATTTTTATGTGTATATATATAGCAAATAATGATATATTAATAGTGAGCAATCTATATATAAGCAGATTTTGATTGAATCAATAAGTGCATCCGTAATCTTTAAATTCTGAGCCCGCATCTGATTGCAGTAACTTAAAACCAATTAATTTTCCGTTTATTTCTTTGCTAGAGAGAAACGCAAGAAGGTACTTTGGAAATATATCCTATTCCCTCCTTATCCAACGGAAGAAATGGAAATGTGAACAAAATATTGAAAAGAAACATAGTACTAAGCACTTAGTAAAGTTTCATTCTCTCTCCTTGTTAGGACCGAAAAATCAGGTGTCATGCGAAAGCTAGTAAAGCAACACTTGAACGGCGATAAATCAGACAACAAAAGAGAATTCTATCAAAAGAGATACAAATATTTAACGTGGTTCGGTTAATTGACATACGTCCACGGCGGAGATGAGCAATCCACTATATTAAAGAGAGTATAAAATATCGAAAGAACAACCTCATGAAGAGGCAAACACAAGTAACACACTAACACTTGTCCCGTAATGTTATCCCCCTAAACACGACTCTCAAACTCTATATGGCTACATTGTGAATGCTATTGAATGAGAAGGAATGATCCTCAATTTATAGAAGTCCTAACCTTTTCCTACAAGAAAAAGACTAGCCAAATATGTTAGATTTATAATTTTCTTCTACAAGAAAAAAAACTCAATTATGGTAAACATGTTGTCCTTTCCTACGAGAGATAGAAAAATTAAATATGGTAAGAAAATTAGGACAACTCCTAACACTCTTTTCCTTTCAAAAATGTCCAAACTCAATTGTACAATAACAACAACATACCTAGTAAAATCTTATAAGTAGGGTGTGAAATAGATAATGTGTACGAATATCTTACCCCTGTCTTAAAGAGTTAGGGAGGTTATTTCATATATACTCTCGACTCAATATACCCTCGACTCAAGAATAGTATATTCAAACACAGTGTGGTTCAAATTCAAGGAGGCAGATAGGGTCGGTGGAGTAATGTCAAAAATGCAGATTTCAAAAAGGCTTTTGGATATTCACGTGGGACTGTGGAAATTAAAGGACATGGTCGATATGGGCGCTTAGTATCTCAGGGCTTTGCAGAAGAAAATGAATGAGGTTAAAATGACAAACACAGATGAATTATTTGCTTTGAAATTGGCTCCTGGATTAGCTTTTCCTCATCTAATTATGAGACAGTGTTTGGCCAAATTGATATTTTTGTTTGGGTCAAATCTTAATTACTCAATGCCTACCAAAAGAAAGATAGACCAAAAGTTGGGTACTGATACGAATTTAGGCAAGGACCAAGACTCTTGGTCCAAGAGGAGTTTGATCACTGTTAGAATAAGAGTAATTTCATAACATTATTACTTCTTCCATTTTGTGGCACATTTTCTTTATAGTATTTTTCAAAAGAATAATATATTTTATATTTATAAATACAACAATAACAACCCAATATAATTCCACTTGTGGGGTTTGGGGAGGATAGTGTGTACGCAGACCTTACCCCTACTCTAGGGTAGAGAGGTTGTTTCCGATAGACCCTCGGCTCCCTCCCTCCAAGAACTCCCCACCTAGCTTTTGGGGTGACTCGAACTCACAACCTCTTGGTTGGAAATGGATGATGCTTATAAATAATTTAACTAAATTTTTTATTTTTCCTTAATGAAGTAAATATTTATGGTTTGTTTTAAGACCAAATATTTCAAAAAAAATTATTTATTAAATTTTATGCTCAGTCAAATACGGATGACACATAAATTAGAACTGAAAAAATACATGTTTTCGGCATATAATGGTAATCAATCAAAGTTGAATCGGCGGTCCAACAAAAACATCTTGTGCAATACACAAGGGGACAGTGGCGGAGGCTAGTTTTCAGCCAAGTGGGTTAAAAAAGAAAAAAAAACGTTAACAAATAAAAGAGACTGTAGCCAGTCGAAATTGAACCGGCCTAGCAAATATTTTGAACCCCTTGATCACTAAATTATGCTTTTGAGTTGTGTCAAGAAGATTCAAAATAAATATATATAGAAATACAAATCGGATTCTGCCTTATACCTACAATATAATTTTCCGATAAAGAAGATTTGGGTGAACTTTCTTCCGCCCCTGCAAGGGAAAAAAAAGATGTAAGTAGTCCTTACAGGTTTGTACTTTGCATATGTCACTACTGAAAATTATTAAAGGGTTCCAAAATGGAAATTAATACCAAGAAAAAAGCACTTGCAGATTCAAGTGGTTGAATGGCTATACTCTAATGACCTTGATTGGTCATTGTTGTAATCGAGCTAAGACTGCAGAAGTAAAATAAATTTCATCACTCTCTGTAAACAATTCAAGTGACAAGCCTTTAAATCTAGTTCTGCAAAATTCAGAAATCCAGTTTATTTGTTCGAGAATATCATATATATTATAAATTATTCATATAAGACAGTGATAGTAAAAATAAATGTACCACTATTTATCAAGTTATACACTGTCACTTGGAAAGTAGGTTTAAAATATTGACTAGCTAGATATTAAGGTCCCGTTCCGATCATAAAATTTGGCAATTTTTTTTAAATTTTTTTTTTGAAAACATTGTTTGTCCAAAGAATATGATCATTTTTTTTAAAAAAAATAATATTTTTTTAAAGTTTCCAAAAATTATATTTTGGGTGAAAGTTTTTTGTTCACCCCCCAAAACTAAACTTTGAAACGTAGCTAAGAAATTAGAAAACAGAAAAAAGGAGAAGGAATTGTGCGATGGGACCATATGGTCTCTATCAATATAGGAGTATTACTTTTGGGGTGCCTAAATTCTAACGTGGTCCATAAAACATCCTACACGTAAAACTAACTTGATTTAATTAGTGTATATAATCTCTCCATTTCCATCCATGCAATGCACTTGTCTGGCTAATATTTATTTAGAGTAAATCTTGGTTAAACTAAACATTATAGGATTTGGCTCACCTCCTGTATAGATTCTCTCCATTTTTGTCAATGCACATTTAATTTAATGATACTTGTGCTCTTTCGGATCTAAGGGCCAAGGTTTATTTAGAGTAAATCTTGGTTAAGTTAAATATTCTTTTGCTAGGTTAGATTTAAATTGGAAAGAGAAGATAGTAATCCGAAAATTTTGCTAGAAAATTTCGTTCTGATTGGGCAGACAAAATTAGTTAGTCAGAGAGGAAAAATATTTTCTTGCCAAGATTAAAACTAAAAAATCCTATATTTTTTCATTTGTCATCTTTCAGATCTATGGGCCAGAGTTTATTTAGAGTAAACCATGGTTAAACTAAATATTCTCTTGTTGGATTAGGCTTTAATTGGAAAGAGAAGATAGCTATCCAAAATTTTGCTAGAATTTCTTTCTGATTGGAAAAATATTTTCTTATCAAGATTAAAACTTAAAGATCCTATATATTTTCATTAATCAAATATTCTCTTTGACTAACTAATTTTGTCATTAAATGAAAAAATATAATAAGATTTTTTAGTTTTAGTCTTGGTAAGAAAATATTTTTCCTCTCTGACTAACTAATTTTATCTGTCCGATTCGAACGAAATTTTATGACAAAATTTTCGGATTACTCTCTTCTCTTTCCAATTTAAGTCTAATCCTAGCAAAAGAATATTTAGTTTAATCAAGATTTATTCTAAATAAATCTTGGCCCTTAGATCCGATAGAGGACAAGTTTGGTTAAATTAGATGTGCATTGACACGAAAATGGAGAGATTCTGTACGGTGAGCCAAATCCATTTAATTATAGGTAGCGACACCTAATTTTATGTACTACTAAAAGCATTGAATTTAACCCAACTACCAACTAATTCTTTCACTCCTCCATTTGGCCGACCATTAATTTATGTCCAATAATTCTCTCTCTATAAAAAACCCTAAGGTCTCACTAGCTTTTGTACACAACACTCAAGGCAATAACATTTGTAGTACTATCCCCCTCTACTTTGTCCAAACTACTCTCTATTGTTCTCTAATTTTTCTTTTAAGAATGGAAATGGTAAGCAAGATTGCATGTTTCGTGGTTTTGTGCATGGTGGTGGTTGCACCCCATGCAGAGGCACTGACCTGCGGCCAGGTTCAGTCTAGCCTGGCTCCTTGCGTCCCTTATTTGCTGGGCCGCGGCCCTTTGGGGGGTTGTTGTGGCGGCGTTAAACGTCTGTTGGGTGCTGCTCGCACCCCAGCGGACCGAAAGACTGCATGCAATTGCCTGAAATCAGCCGCTAATACTTTTAAGGGCATTGATATGGGCAACGCCGCTCGTCTCCCTGGTACTTGTGGCGTTAACATTCCCTACAAGATCAGTCCCTCCACTGACTGCTCCAAGTATGTTTTTCACTTTCTTTTCTTTTTATTATGAGTTTACGATCTCTTCATTTACATTGTAAAGAATTTTTGTAAGATCAGGTTAAATTTGAACTACAACAAGAAGTAACTTTTTATGGTAACATAAAAAAATAAAGTAATGCTATCAAATTATAACTGATATGATAATGTAAAAAAACTTAATCTCCTTTTGCTATCCTTACACTACCCATATTTTCATTCTTACTTCAATTTTACTTTTCCGGCTCCACTTTAATTGATTTTTTTGCCCTTTTTTATAGTATAGTACATTATTTGATTATAACTGATATGATTTTTTTGATATCAAGAAAGAACTAAAAAAATTTTCCAAAGTTGTCCCTGGAGTAAAGAGTTGGACTATCTGTTATTTTTAATGAACAAATTAAAGAGATAATAAAAGTTAATATGATTAATTTTATTATTAATTAATATTAAAAAGCGAACCCCTTAATATGAGTGAAAACAACCAAATAATCAATTAAAGTGGATCGGAAGAAGCAATCACTTGAAAGTGGTGTAACATGATACATAATCACATATTTATACGACACTGAATTGGCTGGTAAGTGAGAAGATTATTATTCATAACCAGTGCGTTTTTTTTGGTGTGCGTATGGGGTTAATGTTGGTTTTCATGTGACAATGCAGGGTCCAGTGAGGTTGATGAAAGATGGATCACTTTTCCACTAGGATAATTTAGTAGTAGCGCAATCATGTGGAGAAGAAGAATAAGAGTGATCGAGTTTGATCCTGCTTATGGATCCATTTCGATTTTGTGTTTGTTGTCTCTCTATTTTCTGTCTTTTGTCTTTTGGAGTAGTCAGAGTCTTGTAATGAAACTTCAACGGTTGGTTGTATTACAATCCAATCAGCTTGATAATACATCTCTATTTAATTTCTAAGTACTTAATGTCTTAATTCCTTCTCTCTGTTCTGCTTTATTTTTCTTGTTTTTTATTTTTTTCATTTAATTTTATTCATTGATGGTCAAAAATTATTTACATATACAATCAGCTAGGTTGGATAATAACTGCTTTTCTTGAGTTGATTGGTCTCGGAAACAGTCTCTCTACCTTCACAAGGTAGAGGTAAGGTTTGCGTACACACTACTATCCCTACATCATTTGAGGGATTTCAATGCGTATATTATTGTTAAGGTTAGAACTTGAGTTGACAATCTAGACGTACGAAGATATATATTAATTAATGCTGTAATAAACCCCCCATCAAAGAATAGTATAACTCAAATTTCGAAAATTAAACGAGTTATAACTAATAAAATAAAATGTGACTAATAAAACACATATGAGAGGCACCACAACAAAGAGATCACTACAACGGTGGTGATAATATGTTCTCACAAGTCACAATGGTCTAAACGTCGTCATCCGTATTATCGTTACTTATATAAGCAAAAAATAGTCGCAAATAGTCAACAAAAAAAATATTAGGACTGAGTCGTACTAGTGAATATTTCAGTTTCGCGGCGCCACATCGAAAATATCTCGTTAGCGATTATGTTCACGTAAACAAAAATATAATAGTAGACCTAAGTTGCTTTTCATGTGAACAATTTTTTTACGGCAATGTCAATGACGTGACAGCCAATGGCGGATCTACAAAAAGTGTTATGGGTGCTTAAGCACCCATTTTCTTTGGCCAAACTTAATAGATTTATATAGGTAATTATCAAAAAATCTAAATAAGTATTGAGTAAGCATCATGTTTATCCGAAAAATGGATAGAGTTGATTTTTTACGTAGTTCTCAGGATACGTGATATAACTTGGCACAAATCGAAAAGTAAGTAGAAATATATTGAGTATTGACTGTATAAAGAATGAAATACAAACCAAACTGAGTGGAAAACGGTTTATGAATGAGCAAGACGAATCAATATACAAATACCAAAAGGATAATCTCTATTTGAATATCAGTATGTTTTTCTCTATGAATATCAATAATATGAGAGTGTATGAATGCCTTAATCTTGGATCCCCCCACAGAAATAGTAGTTATCCCTCTTATAGTGGAAGAATTCTACTTTAGATATAATTAAGAATATATAGTGGGGATCCCACGAAAGATTAGCTTTTCCCTAATTCCCGCCGAGATTCTCTCCCTTAGTGTATCTATAACGGTTCTTGTCTCTTAGCTCGATCTTGGTCGGATTTGGTATTAGTCAATTTTCAGATTTAGAGCTCGATATTAACTCGAGCTCGATATTGACTCAAGCTCAATATTGACTAGGAGCTTGGTATCGAATCAGGATTGATATTGGTCGGTCTCTGTCTCTTAAGCTCGATGACACTGCTTCACTTCATGGTTCGATTTGGACTCGAGCTCGTAAATGACTTCGAGCTGGGTATTTGATCGGTCCCAAAATTTTGAGCTTGGTAACCTGGATTCAGATCTCATCTTGATATTATGAAGATGACCTTCGGTCCATTATGTTCCAATCATGACTAATCATACGAAGGTCGAAACCGGTTTTGGCCGTATACAGATAGTCCCCTCGTTTCTCGGGAAGAATGTGGAGAGAAATGACATGATTTTCCAACGGTATAACAAGATATACATAGAAGTTTGCATCAAGCCCGACCATGATGTACGTGATAGATATCCCGTCTGTTCAGTTACCAAGGCATTAAATACGTGTCAGATGATGGTCGGCCATTGCTGATATTGAACCGTCATTGTCAACCCTATAAATAGTTCCTCTTTTTACCATTTTTTACTTTTACATCTCCAATTTTCAAATCTATAAGTTTTTTTTCACGTCTTCTGAGTTCTTCATCTGTAAATCTGTGATTTTCACTGCAAAATCCTTCTTCAGAACACAAAATCTTGTCATCTTCCTCTATCTTCAATCTTCAAATCCAAATGGCGAAAACGTCAAAAATCGTTCTTCAAGAAGAAAAAGCTTCTTCTTCGCGGCCCGTCGGCGATAAAACACCGGTGGAGCCACGACCTGATGAGTGTGTTCCCGGGGGGGTATGTTCTTACCTCTGATTTTAAGATCGACAAATCCTCGCCGGTTCCCGATCGATGCGAGCCAGTATCGAGGTATATGTGCTCGATAAACGAGGGACATCTTAAACAGTTGAGGAAAGATTGTAACAGGGAGAACAAAGAAGTGATAATCCCTGCTCCCGAAGAAGATATTACTACTCATGTGAAAGGATTTTTAAGTGTTTATACTTACCCTTTCACGTTGGGCCCACTCGACTCAGTTTTCATCAATTTTTGCCGCCAATACCAAATAACCCTAGGCCAAATCCATCCTTCTTTTTGGCGGATCATTATTGTGATCCGCTTCTTTGTGAACAAAGTTGAGGGGATGCCTTTCACCCTCGACCACCTCTTTAGATTGTACAGCCCCCGCCTCTATCGTGGTGGGTTAATAAAACTCCAACGCCGGGCTAACAAAGTGCTGTTCTCGAGCATAGATGAGGACAAGGACCGATGCTGGATGGGCAAGTTCATTTGAGTGAAGACTTCCGACCTAATTCCGGCCCCGAAGATGCCATTTCCCGAGGAATGGAACATGAAGTGTAAATATAATTCTACTGTTAGCTCCTATTGTTTTGCTCCTTTGTTTCTTTCTCACGGATATCCTTTTTTGTGATGTAGCGGTTGCTTGGATGCCCGGTGTTATTCCTAACCTTGAGAGCTGGGTACGGGACCTGGCTTCGACCTCCACATATGCCGAGCGCTCGTGGCGCGACTTATCAAAGGGCCGATGGGAGGCTAAAACTCATGGTAAGCCTCTTTCCCATGTCTTCGATGCTTCGAACAAAATGTCTTTTTTATACTTAACCAATTTTCTTGCGTGTAGGCCTGGGCAAAGATGCGGTCATGAGGCCCTCGTCTGGCGAGGAAGAGACTTCGGCCCCGGTTCCGAAACCGGTGAAGGACAACAAGAAAAAAGGGCCTCTACTTTCGAGGATCCAAAACTTAAGACAAGGACGGCTCGTAAGCCGAAGAAGAATACCATCCCTTTGACCGAAGAATCAGTTCAACATCTAAGGGATGAAGATGACGAAGAAGAAGAAAACGACGGGTCCATACTGGTGGCCCGAGTGAAGAAAACCATCGATGCCCCACAGGCAGCTGGGTCGATGGCGGTTGATGAGGTTCCATCTCGAACTGAGGGGATATCGGAGAAGGACTCGGACAAAGTCCCAGAGTCATTGGAGATCGAGGATGCCTCCCACCGAAGTCAACAAACGGTGGGTATATCTGAAGCGGCTGACCCTAAAGCTCTTCGAACTGAGGAGAACGCCCCAAGCAAGTCGCTTGGGGATATAGTAATCGGAGACTCGCCTACTCTCCCTTTTTTTTCCGAAGGGGCAATTTGGGAGGCCCGAGCTTTGGGGACCATCGAGGTAGATGGGGCCTATGAGGGAGAGGAACCCTTTCGTGATTTGTTTACTAGTATCGAGGATGCTGCCAGCCCAAGTGATGCGTCGGGTTTTTTCTTTGAGGTTCAACGAGCCCTGAATTAGATAAGTCTCGATTTCCTTTGTTGATGTCATATTTTTCCATTTTCTGCCTAACTTTTTCTCTCTTTCGTATAGGGTTTAGCTCTTCATCAAGAGGAGTTTTCCATGTCTCAGGCAGAGCTGAGCCGACGTGAGGATGACTTTCAAGGGCTTTCGGAGGAGAGAAATGCCCTCAAAATCCTTAGTGGGTAGAAAGAGGAAGAGATCAAATATCTTCGAGCCAAGTTGGCCAAGGCTCACCAAGATCAGACAGACCTGATCGAGCAGGTAATGAAACTTTTAAAAGCTCATGGGCTCGACTCGGGAACGATGGCTAACATTTGAATCTTATAGCTGCAACAGAAGATCGAGAGGATCGAGCAGTTTCGTGAGGAGGTCGATACGATAACGGCGGAGTCCTTGGGATGGAAAGAAGGTATGGACCATCTTGCTGCAGAGAAAGAGACCGCTAGAGCTCAATTATCATCGGTCGAAAGTCAACTTCAAGGCATGAAGGAGAAGAGCTCGGCTCAAGTAAGAAAAATAGAGGAGCTCGAAGCTCGGTTAGCTTCCGAATTTGCCAAGGCCGAGAAATCAAAGGCCGATGCGGATGCAATCATGGCCGTCTATCGGGACGATGCTGAAGCCGCTCATGTACAAGCGAGAGAGGCAGCCGAGTCCGCTCAAACTCGAGCACATTGGGTTGTTGAACTCGCCAAATGCCAATCTCGGAGGGAAACCCTCGAGGAGATCCATGCCCGAGGTTTCGACCTTACCAAAGAGATACTAAAGGCTAAAGAACTTGAAGCCGATGTTGGGGCCTTGGCTTCCGATGACGATGATGATGACAACGAGAGTGGGTCTGAGAGCGGGGTGGAGCCTGATGGAGAAGAGACTACCCCTGGAGATAATCAGGAAACTTAGGATTCTATTTTGATCTTTTTGTGTAGGGTCCTGATCGGACCTTGTAAATACTCTTATATAT